CATAATAACATTTCAATCGTTTTACAGGAATTTAAAAACTTATCACTACAGCCATCATTTCGTTAATTAATTCTATTTTAGGATGTTGTAAATAACGATGTGGAAACTTCAAACACAAAGGGGGTCAATCTAATGACAACAATGTTCAACTATATACAACCACTAATCCACATGCTCTGTCGGGTCGGGGTGTGGGGGCCCTTGAAGTGTCAACTTTTTTTATTATATACAACCACTAAAGTCGTTGCGCTAATTACCAAAAGCAAAGGGAGAGGTAACAAGTGTTAACTTTATCATTAGGATAGTATACTAGGAAACAAGTGCAACTACCTAAAGTCGTTGCACATTAGGTTTATTATTTAAGGTATTAAATGAAATCAATAAAACTTTAAATATTTTTATTTAAAAAAAACCTAAAAGAATCTTCCAGTGTGTAGTTTGAATAGATATCGAATTAGACTCAACTTCCAATATATAAAGAATTGTTTATTAGTATATAATCAATGTTTGGCATACTCTAATTTGTTGCATTTAGTCCAAATATCATTCCTAGAACCAATGATATAAACTGTTGTTTACTATCAAATGTTGTAATGGCTATACTACAAAGTTCTCTTTTAAATAACATTAAGATATGATAGGTATTACATGTTACTTAAAATGGATACAAGTAGTTGCATAGATTTATCTGCAATTCAATTATGTTTGAAATGTATAACTACACTGGCATTTTAAACTATACATTCCTTGATTCCTTGATTTTGAGTTGCAATTATTCCATCTCTTGCAAATGACTACTCAGTCAAGACGGTTTCAATAAAAAACACCGTTAAAAACATTAACACTTCGGCCAAGTAATATTTGAAAAAGCTTATGACATTGGTTCTACTAATAACTAACGTAAAATTTTTTTTATATAAAATAAACTATACGACGAAGGTTTTTGAGAAACCGACGGGAAAGCTATGACGTGATTAATCCATCCTGTAGTAGAGTACGAATCTATCATATTAAAAAGATTTTTTTGGCCATAATGCCATATTATTTGAATTTCTCACTTTTTATAAATATCCTATATTTATGTACCACATTTTTGTCTAGCTGTCTTGGGAACATGTCGCACGTAGTACGTACACCGCTAGTAATATAGATATAGATATAGATATAGATATAGATATAGATATAGATATAGATATAGATATAGATATAGATATAGATATAGATATAGATATAGATATAGATATAGATATAGATATAGATATAGATATAGATATAGATATAGATATAGATATAGATATAGATATAGATATAGATATAGATATAGATATAGATATAGATATAGATATAGATATAGATATATAGATATAGATATAGATATAGATATAGATATAGATATAGATATAGACATAGACATAGATATAGATATAGATATGTACCACATTTTTGTCTAGCTGTCTTGGGCACATGCATGTCGCACGTAGTACGTACACCGCTAGTAATATGTGTGTGTGTGTGTGTATAGGTTCATGTGAGAATATCATCTTAGGAGAGGAAAAAAGAATCATCTTGAGCCATTGGATTGAAGCATTATGAACAATAATTAATTAATCCGTATAAGGGTAGATATGTCATTCTGGATCTTTCCTTATATGACTAAATCCGTACGTTTAACAAAGTGAGATTATCATCTCTTGAATTTTGTTATTTCTTCTCTTGTCTATTTACTTTCATATCTTTTTCTCCATTTTTTCTCCATCACCATCAACAACCTCCATTATCACCTCCACCCTATTAACCACCGGCAATTTCCATTCCTATTTCCGCCTTATTCTCGGTCTTCTTCTTACAAACTCGCTTCCCTTCATGTTTCAATTTTCTTCTTTGAGCAGATTTATAATTTTCTTCTTCGCCTTAAGTTCGTCTTTAATCCAATTTATAATTTATTTGCTTCAAGTAGGTTTTACAGGTTGTCAATGGTGCACGGTTATGCTAAGTTGGTTTATGTTATGTTGGTTATGTAATTGACAGTTTTATATACATTTAACTGTTGATTGTTAAATTTGATGCAACTATATGTATTTCTTGTGCACTTTTTCATATTATTGTTGCATATCTTTAGATATATGGGTTTGTATTAAAATATTTTTTAGATTGATAGATTTCACTAGTAGTTTAGTGCATTTACATTGTCATATAATGCATTTAACATGTTTAATGTCAAACTATTTCGTAATAGTTATCTATTAGCTGCTAATAAGATAATAATGATAAATTGTATCTAAATTTTAATGCACTTGTCAAATTTAATTCATGCACTATGCATTAGTTTTTATTGTACTTTGTTTTGCAGATAAAAGTGACGCTAAGAGACCCTACCATAATGAAAATTATGATGCTTTCAGAAGAAAAGTGCATTTCATTTAGTAAAAAGTATCAATGTAAAATATTAGAAAAGTGTGAAATTTTGGTGCACTTTTATTATACTTAAATGCACATAATAGAAGTGCATTTTATTTTGTAAAAGAGTGTCAATGAAGATGTTTAGAAAGTGTGATATAATAGTGCACATTGGTATCATTCTAAATGCACGTTATAGTTATTGTTTACACCCATGTATATTTATATTAATTTTTATGAATTTTATCCCGGACTTGTATGAATGCGTAGAATTAAATGTTTAAAATGTTAATGTTATAAAAAGTGCATATTAACATAATAAACATGTAATTTTCCTTTAGGTTGCAAAAGCATCTAAATATTTAATTAAATTGATGACGCCAAATGTTTTAAATAAAAGTGCAATTATTAAGCGTTTAAGTGCAAATATACAAAACTAAACGAGCGAAATATTACCTCTGAAAAGATGATTAAACGAGAAAAAGTGCACAATTTGGATAGAGATTTTTATTAAAATAATATTTGAGATAATACTAAATTTAATATGGAAAGAAAATTAAACAATAGAAAGTATATATTAGATAGGAGGGAGGTATGTTACTCCCTATTAATTAGTAGCCTAATTTCTAGGATGTACTCCTATTATAGTGCCACATGCGTAATAACTACTTGGATGATATTTACCGTGGTGCCCTTTGTATAATTTTCAATTGAACGGTTGCCTTATATGTAAGTCTAATGATCTGAAATTGGTCTCTCTTTCAAAAATGCAAAGCAATTAGATCAAGTTAATGGAAGGTTAGATTTTGTTCTTTTTTACTCTCCTAAGTGGGTGTTCTCACAGGAACTAACCCCTATATATATATATATATATATATATAGAATTAGGTTCAAGTAAGAAAATGATCTTAGGAGAGAAATGAGAATGAATCTGGACCGTTAGATTGTAATCTGTGAAATTGAATGTGCATTTAGTGAAACTGAAATGTGCATTACGTGAAATCGAAATGTGCAGCATAAAAGGTAAGCTGAAATGCGCACTAGGTGAAACTGAAATGTGCAGAATAAAACTATGATGTAGTGGCATTTTTTTAGCCTTTTATTCTGCACATTTCAATTTCACGTAATGCACATTTGAATTTTACTTTTTATTCTGCACATTTCAATTTTACTTCATGCACATTTCAGTTTTACCAAATGCACAGTTCAATTTCACATCATACAATCCAACGGTCCAGATTCATTCTCATTTCTCTCCTAGGAGTCCTTTCTCACTGGAACTCTCCCCTATATATATATATATATATATATATATATATATATATAGGGTAAGGTTCAAGTGAGAAGAACCCTTTGGGTGAGAAATGAGAATGAATCTCAGCCATTGGATTCGACTAAGTTGCAGTAAAAGACACTTCATGATGCACTGAAATATGCAATCTAGCACGGTGGCATTTCTGTAAATACTTCTAAAAAATTCGTATTACACGTGTCTAGTGCAACATGAAGCTATTTCGGTGCAACGCCGATAAATATTAGTGCAAAATGAAACAGTTTTAGTGCAACATGTGCAAAATTTAAATATTACTGCAACATAAAGCCAATTTTAGTGCAACTTCGTAAATCCAATGGCTGAGATTCATTCTCATTTCTCACATTACATGCATTTCTCACCTGAACCAAAATCTATATATATATATATATATATATATATATATATATATATATATATATATATATAGAGAGAGAGAGAGAGAGAGAGAGGACTGCTCAGGTCCAGCTGGAGGGACGAGAGCAGCCGTCCGAACTCCACCATTTGGGGCGGTTCCCGGTGGAATTTTTCTTGACTGCCTTCCCGGTCGAATTTTCAGCTGAAATTTGGTATGGACAAACTAGACTTGATAAGGAACATGCTCAAAAAATTTCATCAAAAAATTCCACAGGGAACCGCCCCAAATGGCGGAGTTCGGACGGCTGCTCCCGTCCCTCCGGCTGGACCTGAGCAGTCCTCTCTCTCTCTCTCTCTCTCTCTATATATATATATATATATATATATATGTGTGTGTGTGTGTGTGTGTGTGTGTGTGTGTAGAGAGGTTTGGAGAAGATGAAGATGGAGATGATTGATTATGAGAGAATAGAAAATTAGAGAGTAGGATTGTATGAAGATGATGTGAAAAATGTAGAGAAAATAGGAGTACAAATAGGATTTTTCTTAGTATCCCCCACCCCCACCCCCCAAAACCCTCCCGGACCCCTTTTCCTCCCTCCAACGGCTATAGAGCCGTTTGGGATTATTCCCAACGGCTAGGGAGGGGTTTTTTTATTTAAAAAAAATAAATAAATTAGAGCCGTTGTGGCCCGGACCGGGCCTGGCCTGGCCCGACCTGGCCGGTTCATAGTTTCCTAGGCCTGAGCCCGCACCGCTACATTACCGGGCCGGGTAAGCCCGAACCGGTGCCCAGACCGGTTCCCGGGCCGGGTACAAACAGTACCGGTCCGGGCCGGTTCCGGGTCAGTTGGCCGGCCCGAGGCCACCCCTGACCACAAGATGACGGATAACGATAAGGACCACATACATCAAAATGAATCATTTCAAAACATTCAACATCTCAAGCATAATTTAATTCAAACACATCTCTAGTTTGTTTAGCATGTAAACACGCATCACACACCTTATTCACTAAACAATCGCTAGGAGCAACATTATTAAAAATGGATACTTTACGCACTACTGAAGTTGACGAATGACCCAAACGAGCATGCCATAGATCCATTGAGTCCACTATTCCCACAAGATGACGGATAACAATAAGGACCCCATACATCAAAATGAATCATTTCAAAACATTCAACATCTCAAGCATAATTTAATTCAAACACGTCTCTAGTTTGTTTAGCATGTAAACACGCATAACACGCCTTATTCACGCCTTATTCACTAAACAATCGCTAGGAGCAACATTATTAAAAATGGATACTTTACGCACTACTGAAGTTGACGAATGACCCAAACGAGCATGCCATAGATCCATTGAGTCCACTATTCCCACTTTATGCGCGCATACTCAAGATTTTGTAGGATTACAATATATTGGTATGATAATCATGACTCATGGGATTTGAGACCACGTCAACTAGATGTTTTATATACACCCCATTTGTACAGAATAGTAATTGTTCTCAATAATCATTAGATTAACCATTCGTGTTGTCAACTTGTCATGGTGAGCCCTTCTGGTAAATAATGTAAACAACTATTTACATGATTTCTAATACATTAAAGAACCCATTTGGATAAACACAAAGTAATGACATACGACTAAGAATGGCGATAAGGTGCAGTGCTGCACACCTTAGAGCTTCTGGTATAAATCAGACAGTGAGCGGTAAAGAGTGGCTGCAGCAGGTGGTCTGGGCCAAGATCCAAGAAGAATATCGACAGCCGTTATTGACTGACTACCATAAAATCTTGAGTTTTCTCGGCAACGGGTTGCGACAACACTCCCTTCTAGGGAAAGTCCCACAAATGCACCTGCAATATTACAGATATAATGAGCAAGGTTGTGATATGGCAGACTCGTCCTTCACAGAGCCTAAAGGAAAAGAGTTTCGAGATTCAAAATCAATTTTTGTAGTTTCACAAAACTTATGGCACAGTCTCTATTAATATTAATTCAAATGTTAATATTAATTCAAAAATACTCCTAGTTGATTTTTTAGCTATTAATATTAACCCAAATGTTATAAAGAAACTTAGAAAGTGTTGACATTAACATCAACCAAACGTCCTAACATATGTAGCCCAGAAACATAAATTGGGGTTGAGGTGGTATTCATACGATATTCAAACTAGGAGTATTAACTACACCAGAATACCAACTACACTAATAGTTGGTATTCTATTACTCACCCTAAAGGACCAAGAAATTACTACTAGAGATCCGTAACTTGGTTCTCAATTCCAATCCAATTCACTTCTAATTTTATACAGCCTATATCATAAATATCCAACCCCTTTTGGTATATGGTGAATGAGTGCATCCATGGTAACGCATTTAGGTGTAGCCCTAGCCTGGTAGACCGTAATAACATACTCCGTATAAGATAATGTAATCATATACAAGTATGTTTTGTTGCAAGTACATTACACATACATTTTGGTGGACGTAATATCTAGATGAAAAGAAGAAGAATTAATTCAATAAAGATGAGGAACTTCTCCACTCTAGGAAAGAGAAGGTGGCTTCTGACCTTTTCAAGACCCCAAGGAATACAAAAAAGATGATGATATTATAATGAATAGAGCACCTCTATTTTACTAGCTCCAAGAGCCATAATGATAACACTAATCCTATTACAATACCACTATTATAAATATTAACTAAAATTGAATACCTATACTAATAGAAAGCTACTACTAACTAATAAAAATAATAATAATACGAGCATAAAATATAAACAACAACACAATTGCTCACACTTATTTTTTGTAAACAACCTTCTCTCTCCTGCTTTTGCATAATTAATTACTTGACAGTCAAAAAGCCATGCAAATTACTATTCCCCCTTCCTTTCCATGATTAAATTACCAGTATCAATTTGTTCTTAAAAACTGTGTAAAAACAAAAAAAAATATCTATTGAAAGATGAGTATTTATTAATTAAGTAATGACATAAATACTGAGATAAAGAACACACCTTTACTGCAGCTATATGTATAGCAGGCAGAATAGCCCCCACTGCCAGCATGTAAATCAGCTTCAGCAGTTCGTCCTATGGCACCTGCAGCTGCACTCAATCCTGCTCCAATTGAAAGGTGTGCCTCACCACTGAAAGTCTTCACAGCATCTCTAGTTCGCAGAACAATTATGAAGTCAATCAGTTCTCCACCTACCTGCAGAATGCATCGAGAACACAGTTAAACTCTGCAGTGAAAGGTTGAGATTCAAGATACTATCAAGGAACGAGAAAGAAAAACTGCTAAACGAAATACACCCAAATTAGGAGTTCACATTCCAGATAAAAATCATTGCTATCTCACACTTCTCCCAAACGATCCAAGGAGATAAAATGTGGGATCTCTAAGAGTGAGTTGATGGTTTTAAAGGGTTTCATGAAAGAGAAGGAGAGTTGTGTTTTGATTCAAATGATGTATTGATGTGTCACCTAATTGGCACTTGGGTCCCATTTTGGGAACGATAAAATGGGGTTTCAATTGCGAGAATGCTCTGAAATTGGAAACCAGATAACCCAAGTAAAATGGACCTGTTTGCTGAGAAGTCAATTCAATAGCGATTTCCAAGACATATCACTGAGAAGTCAGATGTTAAGATTCTTAAGAATTAATACCAGCAAGAAAATTTGGCAGGAAGCATGAGCTATAAGTAACATACAGTGAGTCAGAACAAAAGCAAGAGTTATTAATTATTACTTCACCTGAGCACCCCATCCCACACCGAAAGAAGAAATGGCTGAAGGAGGAGACCATGAGCCATCTTCTCTGCGAGCAACTACCAGCCCAGTTCCAATGTTGTAAGTAACCACAGCTCCGACTTTTGCTACTGTGAGTATTGCAAGGCCTTGAGCACCTTGAAGAATAGATTCTGGAATTCTCCTTTCATGTCTCAAAGAACCGACCTGGAAGTTCAACCAATCAGAGTGAGTTCGCATATTACCAACAGGTGTCAATTTAATCAGGAACATGTTTTTATTCAGAACCACATGGTTCGGAAAGCAGTAAAGAGATGTTTGAATGCAATATGTATCTAGACTTCTCAAACTACAAAGCAAAATGTTTTTTGAATGGTGCCTTTACACTGTAAGAGGAACCTACAAGATTCACCATGTGAGTAATCACTGGTATTCCAAAATATGTGATCAGAACATATATTCTCAAGAAGTGGCGCCATCAGGATCATAAAAAGTTTAAATTTGGAGTGAGATGGAAAAATAAATTATTCGTATAAATTTGTACACGAAATTTTACACATGAGCAAAAAATTAACAAACTTGAGGGAGCCCCCCATCTGCACAAAGGTTCTCAAGTTACTGAGTCAGTAACATAGAACATCTTCATCAATCATACTTCAATCCCAACTAAATGATGGTCTCATCATCACTACCCCAGTGCCGCAAAGGCTCCCACCTACGGTTGGGTAGGGGGGGTCGGATGTACGCATTCATGGTCTGCAGTATAAAATTTATAGTCTATAAATAGAATCTAAAATGAACTATACTCTCTTGTGAATTCATGCATAAAAGCATAGAAGCAATATTTTACACCAGTTGCACTTCTCGTTACAACCTTCTAAAGAAGGAACAATGAGATGACATTTCAAAACCATCAACATCATATAGTTTTTCCACTCACATGAAAAAGATCATGAGATGCAGATAAGTTGAGAAAGCTTATAAATTCAGCATAATTCATTTAATATGATTAGTGGTGGGAAGACTGAAGATCTAGTAGATGCAATTTTGTACAGAATAAAACTGAATCTATATCTGAAATCCATACCTTATTATAACTCCGAAGTATGTTGGTAGCCTTGTAAATCTCATACTCCATCGACTGTCCCCATGGAAAATTTATCCATGATCTCAAAGTACTGAGATCTGTCAGATCATGTGTTGGCAACTGCGCAGCACGGCTAACTCTGTCCATCAAGTATGCCTGAACAGACTCAATACGTATGGAACACACATCACATACTCTCTGTGGTTCTTCTGTGCGAAATTTTTCTGGCAACAAGCTCCTTCCTTTGCTACAATCGCTGCAAAATATTCCTCCACAAAAGCGACAGTGATGCCTGCTACACATTATGGGGTGAAACCGGACACTACACAGCATACAGGAAGAAGCTGCACTATCAGGCAGCCATTTGGGAGGTTCTGCCTCAAGAAGTTCTCTGGCAGCACCAAAATTAGCCTCTGTGAGAGTTTGAGCCATCTCCTTCCAAGCTTGCTCCACAAGGTGGCCTGAGATCCATGAAATGTTATGAATATCACCCGACGATAAAGCACTCACTTTACCCCTAGCCACCAACAACATTTCCACCAGTACATCCCACATGGTTAACTCTTTATCTTCCCCAAAGCACTGAATGGCACCTATTTCTTCTTCAGGAAAGTATTCCCCTTTTGAGCAAAAACCTCTAGTCCAATCTTCATGGTCACTTTCTGACATCGGAGGAACAGAAACAGGTATCCAAATCCCGGTCTCGCCATAAAGTGGTGCATCATAAGAGAAGTACTTTTGTTGTTTTCGAGCAAATTTGCTTGGGTCATCTTTTTCTGCGGTGCTATATGACTGTGCATAAGAATCCCTTGCAGAACCACACTCTTTGAGCTCATGTTCTTCAGTACCAGAAATGGAATTTTTCTCACACTTTTCCTCAGTGTCCTGAAGAGATTTATCACCAACAAAGGTTTCTGTTTTGTCAATTTCTTGACTCGTGGAGCTCTCATTTTCAGGGAAATCTAACCTGGGACATTGAGATAATTCACTTCCATGCTCTTCTTGCACCTTCATTTGACAGACTATGGATAGAGAAGTAGTAGATTGCAACAGAACACCTAACTGTGTTTTCACTTGAAGGCTCAAAGAATCCTATGACGAGTAGTAGCATAATCCATATATGATTTCTCAAGAACTGTTTATATTAAGATTTCAATACTCTACTTTTTACACCAAGCATAGTGAAGTATTTCAATTGGAAGAAAATGAATATTTTACCCACATAAAGAGCATGATAATCCAGAAATACGTGCTAACACTAAGAAAAAGTTGGCAAGCAAGTCTGATCAGCTGATCATATCATAATTTTCTTCCACGCAAACATTTTAAAAAACATTTGATTTCATCCCTTAATGCAATTTATTCTGTCTGCAATAAAGTTATTCCAAACAAGGGGAAAGAACACAATAAAAGCCCCATACTAAACTGTGTTAAAAACTGAATAACGCAACACTGGTTTAAAACTTTCAGCAGCAGACAAGTATAAACAGTTGCCTAAGAAACCGGGTATGATACGATCACAAATTATGCATGAATTATCACCTTAACACCTGGTCAATTACTAAATTGAAAAAATAACAGCTTTTTAGTTCTACAATACAAAAGCCGTCAAAACCCACATAATCTCGAGTGCTTGAATTCTAGGGAGATATTATATGTTACAGATAAACAATCGAAAACTAATGATGGATACCGAAAAACAAAACGTCTGAGAAGGATTACCCGTTCTGAATTGGGATCCTCGAAAACCTATGGTGTCAATTCGGGGCCCCGACTTAACCCCTTTCAGCTTTTTAAATTGGAAGAGATGACTCAATTTGATAAGCAATCAAAAGCGAGCTGACGGACCAAACTCAATCGTTGTGAAAGATAGTTACGCTAAAAAAGTTATGCTCAAAATGGTCGGAGGCTTGGTGCGAAATTCGGAATGAAGTTAGCCCATTAGCCCGTTTGATATCCTATTTTTCAACTTATAAATTTATTGAACAATTTCTTCATCAAATACGTAACTTTCGGTGCATATTTTATAGACAAAAGTTCTACCCTCTAATTTTAACTATTTAAAAGTTCTTAAAAACTTTTACTTGTATGCTAGTATGACAATTTTTAAAAATTTTATTAAAAAAATTGAGATGATATAGTGAGTAGCATCTAAAAATTGAGATGATACAATGAGTAACCTCTAGTTTTTTTAACGCACCATGCGCGTTTGAACAGAATGCCCAAGCATATTGTTTGTTCACCACTTATCTGTCAATCATATACATGCATGTAAAGTACTTCGAGACAACAATATTTCATGGAATACAATATTATTCATAGTAATAGTAGATGGATGTGTGAAAAATAACCATTCGGTTCTTTTTTCAAGTGGTGAGTTGTTTTTTCCTGAATATGGCATCCTCATCTATTCATTATTATTTTTTATTAAAGACAAGACCTCTTTAATGATCGTGTGTTTGATGGAAGAATGCTGATGCATGTGACAGTATTTGCAATATATATTACACTCTTCTTTTTTTTGAAAGGATATATTATACTCTCCTTAGTCCAACCATTATTGGCATTTTGAAAGGATGCTTTTTTGTTCAAATAATGAGAGATTAGTTAATGGCGCATATTTGTTTGCATATTTGGACTAAAACATTGGAAGGTCGTCGTTACCCTGAATGTGTGTGCGGGTCATTTTAGAATTACAATGGAAAGAAATAGGAAAAGAAAAAATAGTCTTGAAGGAGATCATAGTGTTGGAAACAAATGAATTTAAATTAATTTTGTGCCTATAAAATTGCTATCATTCGCTCATGTTCATGAAATTGAAAACACAGTCGTATAGGTCAAGAAGTTAATATTGGACTCCATATCCTAATACAAAGTACCGCAATAAATCTTGAAGCAATTAAAGAAACAAGTTAAAGTACTTAAAATAAAAAGTTAAAAGAAACATAAAAACAATGTGATGTGCCACAGCTATGTATTTGAAGTTTAAAGTTGCCCTAAAAGCTTCTAGTGAAAATCTATTCAAGTGGGAACACTTGTATTGACTAATTTTAATTAAAATACATGTTTCAAAAAGTTATTAGTTTATCTTATAAGGATATAGGACCGTATAACAGATCTAAAATAATACACACAAGTAAAAGTAGATACCTTGACCATTAATATATAATTCATTATTAGTATAACATAAAAATTCAGATTTTAAAAATTTAAAAAGAGAAGTGTTTAACAATACTTTGCAAAATTTTTATTTATAATACATTAATAAATAAAATGCAGTCAAAATATAATATGTGAATAGTTCATAATCACTAAAGTTGCAACTATAAGAGAACAGAAGTAGCATATACTACTCCTTATATACTTATAGGCGAAAAGCAACTTTAACTCCTAGGTGAGACAAATGGAGCTTGAAAGTTGAAACTAGCACCAATTTCTCCGGCCTTAAAAGGACATTAAAAATTTGAATTTGGATCATCTCCAGTAACCGGTGAGTTCCATTAGGAGAGATATAGAGAGGATAAAATTAAGGGTGGGGTAGGTTGTGAGAATGTTTGAGAAAAGGGTAGAGATGAATAAGAAGTAAAAAAGAAATGGAGGGGAAATGGAGAGAAAAAAATGGAGATGAGTGGAACCCTTAAAAATTTGTACATTATCTTAGAAATCTTGAATTAGTCTGCAACAAAGGTGAATACAAATAAACTAAAATTATCAATATGTCCAATAAAAGTACATGACTCAAGTATACTGTATCATTCATGGGCGTCAATTAGTAATGAAGATTTATTTTAAGCGGTAAACTAACGAAGAAGAAGAACTTTTGATAATTTTTAGTGCAGCTACTAATTAAAAAAAACGTTTACAAGGGTAAACTAAAAAGCACATAATTCAATTAAAAATCATTGAATTCGATCAATGCAGCTGCTAATTCAAAGAAAAAGAAAAAGAAACAAAAACCTAGTGGATGAAGATGCTAGAGGAGTCAATAAACGGAAGCATTAACGGCGGTACATTAACCAAGGGGAATAAAATTAGAAAAGTGCAACAAAAGAAACACTACATACAATAAGTTTATGCAATAAGAGACACCAACATTTTTCATATGACGATTATGCCCTTAACAATATTCCCTCTTATAATATTGTAGAGATAAAGTTTGCCCCCAATCAAATTCGTAGGTTGCCCCCAATGAATTTTTTAGATTGCCCCCAACAAAATTTTTATTACAAGAAAAATCATATGGATTATTCTACCTAGTAATTTATAAGTATGATATTTATTTAAATATATAATTGAGATTACTTGAACAAATCATAGTAATCTCTAGAAATAATATTCATATGAAATTGAACCAAAATGTTCTTAAATTAAATCATAGACAAAAACGTAATCATTTTATTTTGTAGACTAATGAATATCAATCGGATTAGAAAAAATGTTTTTATATTAATGAAGACGAGCAAACGTAGAAGTACAATTCAATCTACCTCATAATTTCTTTTCTATTTTCCCTTTTTAGTGTCAAAAGTTTCTCTTCATTTTCTACTGTGTTTCAGGGTCTCTTCTGGAATAATTTGTGTAGTTTGTGTAGTCAGTATTCATCATTCTTTTTCTACATTAATCAAGTTATAAATTTTAACTATTAATCATTGTGCTATTTCAATGTTAGAAGGTATTTTGAGAGGGATAGAATTTGACACTTTAGACCTTTTATGCAAACATTAACGATTATTTAGCACTAAAAGCTTGAATTGATAAGGTTAGTATAAAGTTATTGTACAGTTACTTAGTGAATTGATTTTGAGATTAATCTTGTATTAAACTTTAGATGCCAAATTGCACTAATTAAATTCAATTTATCATGTTTATAATGATGTTTTTATTTGGATTGAAATTTTCTTGTCTGGTCAGTTTCAGCTTCGTCTGATCTAGTCTGAAGTGATTTGGTCTGTTCTAGTAAATGTCTAGTTTTTATATATTTTAAAACTGTCCAATCTGGCCCGATCTGTTAAAGTTTGTCTGGTCCGATCTAGTTTGTTTAAGTGTAGACTGATCTGAGACTGAAATATTTTAAGTTTACCCGGTGGGATGTATCCTGATTGTATTGCTCGTGTAATTATGGCATGATGATTATCAACGAAGTTATCTTTTGCCAAAAAAAATTACCGGGTGAGAATGAAGGCTTAAGCCCTTTTCGGGTGTGTATGTGTATATACAAATACTCATGATGATCTTTAGAGGTAAAACAAAAAACATGATCGCTACTATATCTATCCTAAATTAAATTGGTCGTCTTAATAAAAGAAAAAATTGATTGGCCTTTGAATTAACTTATGCCCCCAATAACTTTACTTTCTGGATCCGCCACTGCGCCTCTATTTGTTAACTGTTTTTTTACCAAATTCTTCATTATGTTTTCCAACTAAGCACTCTGCAATTTTGGATTTGTGCCTAACCGATCAAAATGAAAAAATTTAAATAAAACTTGGCTTCCCTTTCACTTTATATTTAGTACATTACGTTTATGTCCACATTCTTCTTTATTCCTTCGATCATCTCTTTTGAAATTAGATAATACGGAGTAGTACGTATTATATTACCTACTTAGAAAAGCAACACTCATAAAAAAGGCCACTGCTACTGCTGCTGAGCAGCCTGAGCTGGATGCTGATTTAGAGAGGTATTGTTTTGGAGCTAAGAATAATTGATATCTAGACTGCTTATGATAGATTGAGATGCATTGTGGCTATTAAGAGTTAGTTGTCCATGAGCCAACGCAGTTAGAAGCGCAGTTATCTTCAAGAATTCATTTGAATGCCTTCCCGATTGAAGTTTTAGATGAAATTTGGTATGAGCAAACTAGACTTGATGAATAAGATTCTCAAAAAATTTCATCAAAAAATTCCACCGGGAACCACCCCAAATGACGACGGCCAGACAGAACATCCTAAATGAGGGTTTATTTGACCTTTTTTGGTTAGTACATGGGCCTATTTGCACCTTTTTCCTAACCGAAATATCTGAAACCCGACCCGATATCCGATAATATCCGACTAAAAAATATCCGAAATACCCGATTTGAAATATCAAAGGGTCGGGCCTAGTATTTAAATTAAAAAACCCGAACGGGTTTAGGGTTCGCAAACCCGACCCGCCTGAACCCGATCCGTGCACACCCCTAGTGTCAATACTTTGAGATTTACATGGAATTGGGTACTATTCATCTCATCCAAAAAAAGTTGAGCATTTCCATGGAGATTGTAGTATTGAAGAAGCATTTGTTGGAATATTTGTTCTTAAGAATTGCTCCGCAAGAGGTGACCCAGTTAAGACACTTTTTGATGAGGAAGCTGCGGAAGATGATGATAGTGATAATGACTCTAGAAGTTTACCATTGTTTATACTACTCTTGGAATATTTGTTCTTAATAATAGCTTTTTGGGATATTTGTTCTTAAGAAATATGCAAGTTTACCTTCGTACAACTTTTGTTTTTATGACTCAATTCTAAGAGATTTCTTATTGATCAAATAAGAAATTGATTATTTCCATTTCTGTATTTAATTCTTATAGACATGATGACAAGTTAATGATGACGGTAACCCTAGGGTCAACCGTGATAAATAAGGAACGATTAGGTATCCTTAAGAATTATTTATTCTTAAGAATGTCTTTGCAAATCTACCTTTTACTTACACCAATTTCAACATTAGGACTTGAAGTCTTGCAGGTTACGTTGAAGGATCTAGAACGTAACTAAGTAATCGGGTTGTGTGGAGATCAGATTGAACGGTCTTATTGTTGATTTAAGGAGACCTACATCTCTTTTGCAAGAAGTTATTGTAAATATTTTTTATATTGTTTTATAACAAGATATAGGTGGGTTTGGGGATGTAATAAAAAGAAAGAACTA